GAATGAATAAATGACAAGCAAAGGCTGTTTCAGTTTATATGAGATTTGAGAGACACTCCATACTGTTCTAAGGGAATTTAGGTCAGTCTGTCTGGTTTGAGAGCAGTTAATAATAGCCCTTGGTGGTGGCTGATATGAAATGAAACTGCAGTTCAGGAAGCAAAGTGGAAAAGTTTGTTTTTTGCAATAAACATGGATGTAAATCATGCAGATTTGTCCAAATATGGTTTCACATGATGCAATATGCAGTTTATTTTTCCCAAAGTGATGGTGTCATTTGTTTACACTAATAACACTTACATGTCTCAATATTATTGTGGTCATAACCACAGATTTAAATGCTACAACAGCACCTCTAATGGTGCCACCAGGAGTGCATATCTGTTGGCGTTTGTCTCTGTAACCACATACAGGTATCTTTTCGTAGTTTTATTGAATAACCCCCCATTTTTAGTGCACAGACAAATAAAAATCTTAATTCATGGCCAAAAGGATGAGAGGGTTCCAAACTGTAATTTGATCCTTACACTTGGTCAGACGGTTACCTTTCCGCCATGGTGGTGCCTTTCCGCAGGCCATTAAGATAGAACACTGCTCTCTGCTTGTGTGAAACCAGTAAAGACAACCTCTTTGCAGTGATCTGTGAGTAAACAACCAGAGACACAACTGATATGGTGGCACTCCATCAAAGAAAAGAAAGCATAAAGGAGGTGGGGAGTAAGTTAATCGGAAATAGCAGCAGACAAGCAAAAACCCACATGCCCACGAGAGAAATGAACACCCATTTGGCATTCTTTCTGTAGTCTCTTAGGTGGATTGTTGGTGAAGCCAATGGCAATGAGACACAACACAAGTCAAGTGTAGCCCCCTCAAACCCCAACATAATAACGTAAAATAAAAAAATACTCCTTCTTATATATATATATATATATATATATATATATATATATATATATATATATAATAATATATCCTTAAGCTCTCCTCACTGTCTGCCCCGGCCCATATCCCCTTGCCACATTGCTTGCAGACGATGGTTACAAGATGATCCATGCAAATACATTAGCAGGCCCAACAGCAGGTGAAACACAGTCCTGAAAGACAAATCCTCCATTCCGATGCCCATCCCTCCCGTCTCCATCCCAAAAATAAAGTAGCAAATCAAAGACAAAGTCACAGTCGTATGAGGTTAAAATGATGGGACATCTCTCTTTCTTTTTTTGGAAGCACGTCTTTTTCAAGGTATCTAAATATAGCAACTTCTAATATCCCTGATTATTAATTTGTCCTTTATTAAACGCTATGGCTGCTACTTCTGAAGCCACCAGTCAAGAGTTCTTTTATTGCAAGTCTCAAGGTACAACAATATTGAACCAAAGGGAACTCCAAGTGACAAAGGAGAACTGACCAGTTACTTAAGGATGTTAGCTAAGCACATGTACCTTCAAAGAAAAAGGGGAAAGTGAGGAGTTGCTCAGGTTGCCCAAGCCACTAACATTAGTCTTAGCTACAAAGTTAAGTACTTATCCACTAGTCACAATCTAGAACAGAGTTCAGATATAATAGCAAGGGTAGGTGGATGCTTTGGGAGTAGGATGTGGGGTGGTTTAGGCCAAAGTGGCCCAGGGCTGGATGTCTCACAGGATGGAGGGTATAGGGGAGCGAGAGCGCCGCAGCGGGCAGGGCGATCCGTAGGGCGAGGTCACAGGAGACAACCTCAGGGCGTTACCAGCCATGCCCGCTATGTTGTTTAAGCTCCGGGATTTCTCATAGCCTTCAGATGAGGGGGCGACAGAGAGGTGGTGGTGGAGGTGGTGGTGGTTGTGCAGGAACAGGACATGAACACACACAGGCAGGCAGGCAGGCAGGCACGCAGGCAGGCAGGCAACGATCCGAGTCCGAGCCAGCCGAGTAAACCGAGACAAGACAGGAGACAGCAGTGAGACAGAGCACTGTAACATACTGTATGGTGAGTGCATGCACAGCACACTTCCTCACAATAAAGCCCTTTGCACACCAAGTCTGTATTTTTATACGCATTATCTGATAAAAAAAGAAACCAGGCAAATTGAGTCCGATGCGTTTTATTATTCTATTGCTTGCTAAAATTCACAATAGGAGACAAAATGGAGTTGTCAAGCAGTGAGGATGCTTTTTGGACACCTCATCTGTCAGCTTCTCTCCCTCGCTTCTCTCCACTGGAGGAAGCTTTGCCAGCGCGGCTACCTGAAGAGGCTGAGCTGCCCTCCCTCTCTGCCTCCACACTGTCGCTCCGTCTGTGTGCTGTCCTCATCCCTTATTTCATCCTGCTCCTCGTCATCATTCACGTAAATATTATCTGACCTGTTGAAGGTGTGTTACCTGTAACAATTTTAGACGGAAAATACGGACTTACGGTGTGCAAAAGGCCTTAAGGCAGATTGGAGTCTTAGATAGGCAAATGTTTTGAGCTGAAGCCACTCTAGAAGGAGAATAACCTCTTTGGCTGAGTTAATCCTCAGTGGGTAGAGCCAAAAAACACAGTATTTCTGGTTTAAGATGGAAACCCTTTCTGACCTGAAAAAATACACTTTACCGGCCCATTGACACCCAGCTAATTTGAGGTAAAGTGGTATCATTTAAATATCAGTTAGCTATTTTACTTTTTGCTCTCAAAGAAGGCTGCTTAATTTGAAAACAAGGCATTCAGACTATAATTACAGCCAGCCAAACAATCGTCTGTATCAGCCCTCTAGTTGTAAGTCTGAGTCAAGTTATGACTCACTCATCATTCAGCAAAATATCAATCAACAGTGGATGCAAAGCAAACATAGCTGGTCCTTCCATTTAAATCAAATCCATTATTATTTCTAATTCAGTCAGTCCTGCTAATCAAAAATGAGCTATACATCATTTATATGCATCTGGTTCCAACATTTATCAAGCACACCTGGATGGAACCATCATTAAAAGCTATTGTGTTACACACACCGGCACCATCTACGGCACCCCCCCTAGCTTGTAAAGAAGTGAAACCAGAAAACAAACATAGCCTCCTATTAGCTGATTAGATTGTATCAGTGTTAATACTGGATTTTATTTAGAGGAAAATGTCAGCCACGATGGCTTTAGTTTTTTGGCCTCCTCTCTGATGACACTGCTCTAGTTGTTTTCACCAAATGGATGGTCTCATGGCTGTTGAAATTCCCCAAATCACTGACTCGAAATTACAATTAAGAAGCTGATTTGATAGTAATTCAAATTTGACGTGATTTCACATTAGTCACACTAAAATATCTAAGTTTGCCATTTAGTTTAGATAACTATGTTAGCCTATAGCTAGCTAGGTAAGCCAGTTAGTTAACATGAAGCTGTTCCAACATAATGAATGTAATGTATATGAATGAATGCAACAATGAAATCACTTCCATTTCTATTTTGAATCAATTCTGTTACCATTTTAAGGTGCCGTGTAGTTAACAATGGTTCACTGGCTCCACCCACTCACCAAACTAATCAGATTACTTCATGCTTACAGTATGATTAATATTCCAGTCTGCCAGAGTTAGTCAAATAAGTACAATTTGACTTGATTTGACATTAGTCACACTACACAACTGAAGAATAGAATCATACATTATCAGTCTTCCATCTCATGGCACCATCATTAGTATTTTCTCTTAAAAGAAATTGTATAAATCTTACAATTGTCTAATAAATGGTAATAACTTCATGAATGTTTTTATAAACTACTCATTTACATTGAGGCACATAGTTCAAAATATATAACAATAATACACATTAAGACTACAAACATGCACAATATGCATCAAATATAAGACTGTTTATGTGTAAAAATTCAAGTTATAGCTTGCACATACTGATGATGATGAGGATGATGATAAAGACCTTGATTAATAATGCTTCATTAATCTGTAGAGAGTCACACTTAGCTGAAACTTTTAAAAATGCAGCATGTGATGCACGCTGGCAGATTTGCATTCTGTCACTTGGTGCAAAAAAAACCCCCAAACAAGCAAGCCAAAGCCGCCAGATCGTTAACAGAGCATGCCAATCAACTGGCGTAAACACTGATGAGGAACAGCTAATGGAAACGTGGCCTCATTTTCATACTGCATAGGCACCATTTGTTTTACCGAGGGGAAGTGTGTAAATTAAACCGGGGCGTTTTCAGAACCAGCCGAGCCGGCAGAACAAAGGGAAGCCTGAGTCTATGCCAACAGGTAGCAGGGACTAGAATGGACTCATGTTTTATGTATTAGCGTCAGTGTGGTGGAAACTGCCGACAGAAGCAGCAGAGACGAAGGCAAAGCTGCTCTGCAAAACAAGAAGGACAATGTGCCCTGCGGTGAGAGAGACCACCATGATGTACTTCCACAGTGGATCTGGACCACATGTACAGTAGTTTAACCTGCAAGTCTGTCTCAGCACCCAGATTGAAAATCATACATTATACTATAGTGCATGTAAGAATAACAAATAAACTGATATGATGTATTATCTGAGTAGAATTCTTTTGAAATGGGAGCTGAAATTCAATTTAGCAATATCTTCACTTTGCAGAGTGGCGCTCTGGTATGGTAGCATTGCTTTGTCTGCTATAGATTGATTACATTAGTGCTACATAACACTGAGAGCAGGAAATTTAGAAAGCCTCCTGGAGAGGCGGTTAATGTCTAATAGGAGGCAATTAGCCAAAGAACGCTCCCACATTACAGAGCAGATTAACACAACCTTAATGCCTCAAGATGCTAGAGATACAACTGACAAACATGCTTTAGGCCTCAATATTAGCATGGTCAAAATGAGATTGCAATTGAAAGTATTTTACAGTAAAAATGTCTTAGGATTTTGCTGAACTTAACACATCAGCTGCAGTATGGCCTCATTTCCATTGTGTGAGCTGCTCAGTTTATATATTTCAGTTCATAACCTTTTCTGACATGACATGGAACAGCAACAAGGCTTTCTGGTAATTCAACAGATGTGAACTTCATGATGACCTTTAGCTTGTGTCAAAGGGTTTGGAAGGTCAAGCCCTTTTTGAGTCTGACCATGCCACTGAAGCACTGCTACAAGACTGAAGGCGAGAACAGATCTGGACAAATCTGACAGAAGATTTTAATTAAATTTTTTTATCGGAAACAATGCATTCTGTTTCCATATCTTGTCAAGCTTTGTGGTTAGTAAACTTTGCACGCAAAGTTTCAACATTGTGCAATCAGAAACAAGAATCAAGTCATCCTGGTGGTGCAACCAGAGCCATGATCAACTTATGTTTGACTTAAACTTCTTCCTTAATATCTTACACTTAAATCCACAGTAACAACATAAAGGGCTTGTCTATTGTAAACAACGGGCCTATCATGCATTTCTCTGCATGCTGAAGCAGTGAGCACGGGGCTCTAGTGACAGAGTTCAGAGGGTTGTGTTGTTTTTATTTCTTTTCCAAAACCTACAATACAAAACAAGTGTAAGGAACAGATACACCTGATTGCTTGTCTGTGCTAACAAAATCTGAGCCTCTTAAGCCTTTTTCAGGACAGACACACCCACTGCTTGGGAGCTAAGACTGCTCCCAGATGCTACTATATCTGTGCTCAAGGTAATGTTAGCGGCTGTCATTCTTTGAATTGGATTTGGAGTTTACCTGAGATGGATTTGCTAGACTCTATTAGTCTTCATCCTTAAAACCTCTTCTCATGTAAATGTGAAATATATTGTTGAAAATACTAACATTAAAGCGTATTTCTAAGCTAACACAGTGTTTCCCACAGGATTTTAAGAGGCTATGGTGGGTAAACTATTTGATCATAAACCAATTGTAGAGCTATAAATGGTGATGAAACAGCAACAAAGGTCATGCTGTTTTTCCAGCAACCCTAAATCAAATTATAGAAAATATAATAAGTAATTTCCCTAACATTTTATTGGGTTTTTTTTTTTACTTTTAATGGACACACATGGAATATGTTTTATACTTTCTGTGAATATAATCCAATTAATCTTATTTCCATACTGTATAGACACCTTATTTTGAAAACCAGGCGCTAACCTGCCTGTCGGTTCGCTCTGGGCCGTTTCAGTGGATTTACCGTAAAGGCTTGGATACGTGTGCACTCCAAATGTAGGCGCGGCTAGCTTATTCGCCTTCTCACAAACGAGTTTCAGAAATAGACCATTAACGTTACCGTAGTTACCTCAAAAGAAAAGTGGTTGTCTCGAGTCGGATGCCAAAGTGTGTGAGTGTGCGAGCTTACAGCAGTGCCCACAAAAGACAACGTTAGAGGTCTGTAATGTTGTTATGAGATGTGTAAAAATGGTTTTGGTTCATTTTGAAACTATGGTGGAACAAATTAGACTGTGGTGGGCCACTATAGTGTCGGTAATTAATGGGAAACACTGGCTAACATATTATGTTACTGGAGCTAACTTCTATCCAGCAATATAAGGACAATGCTGCTCCTTTATTGCCATTTCCTTCACATGTTCCAGAGCTAGCATGATATCACACATGTAGCCATCACATGTATATTTAACAGATGGAAATGTTAAGTCCACCAGAAAATGAGTTTTCAACTAATTCACAGTTTTAATGTTAGCTAGCTAGCTAGTTATAGGTACTAAACTCCGTCACTGATAATTATCTTTTAAGCTGGCAAATTCAATTCACTTGTGACCAACTGAAAATGAAAATCCTGTTTTTGTAAAAACTTTAAGGGTGTATTGTTGTTTGAAGAAAAAAAAAATAAATAAAAGGCAAAGCAACAGTAACAAAGGGACCAGGATTTAGCGAAGGGTCAATAACTGAATAAGGCTCTAACTTTTTTGAAAACTAAGTTTTCCACATATACATGACCTGGTGTCTTCATTCTTTGTCTTTATGAAACTATTAGGGTTAAAAAAAGACCTACTGTATGTATGGTCAGTAGGTTATATTTACTAGATCTGAATGTAAATTAATCCACTGGATTAGCTGGTGATTAGCACAATCACCTTTGGCAGCAAATGAAGTAGAAGCAAGTGCACTGTGCAAGACTACTAATGAATAAGTCAAAATGTTTGTGGGTTGAAATATATTTCTTTGACCATTTCCTGTGATTGTGAGATATCTGAAATCATCACCTTAAGAGCAAATAATACACTGTGTGATTTATTTGGGAACTGTAGATGGGCAATGAACCTGGCAACAGCCGAAAAAGGGAGAGACGGGGTCTGAAATTTATTCAAGTGTTTCCAGGCAACAAGAAAACATGAATAAATTGAGAAGAAAGCAACAGTTCTGAATCAGCTGCATGGACACTGGTGCCGCTCAGAATTGCCAAAAAAGTTGTGCTGTGTGTCGCTGCTGAGAATGACAACAACAGATCCACAGGTTACATTACCTGAGCTGACTAGGCCTGAACAAACAGCCTTCCCCCCTCCAGGGACGTTGATGTTGCAGTCACTAAGGACATGGATTGGCCGATGAGGAATTTGACTGATGTCTGTAAGACCTTTTTTTTTAAACATGTTGTACCCTGACATCTGTATTTTTATCTTAAAACATATCCCAATATCAACTGAGTGTTTATTTAGTTTACTCACAGAATATTTCACACAGTAAAAAAAAAAAAAGAACGCATGGCCACAGGAAATCCCTTTGAGATGAAACCTAACCCAGATTTATAAGTGATGACTAATGAATCAAAAATGAATCAGTCATAATGCACAATAGCAAGCATAGATTTTAGAATGATTCTTTAAGACAAGAAAATATTGAATGGTTTTAAAGGACTATGTTTATGAAAAGATTAACATAATAAATTTATCCATGCTTAGAAGAATTTCCACATATAGTTACCTGTTTTTCGTAGCCCCCCATCTGCAGGGCAGCTGTAGTCACTAGCAGCGAGCAGAAAGCACGTCCCCCCACTCCGGCGGTCCTGTTCCCGGGTGCTGGACCTTCGCATGGGGACCCTCTCATCTGGAGACATGGTCAGGTCACTGCCTCCGCTGCAATCTGCTGAGAGAACTGTGAGAAAAGAATATGATATTATAACAATATTCTGACATAAAAGATTTCAAGCTTTAAATCCAAAGCTCATATCAGTAGATTCAGTAATAAAAAGCCTTAAGCATGAACTTAGCATACCATTAAAGCTTCAATAGTGGCATCAATAATTCCATGATTTTCAACAGCGATACTGAATAATTAGATAATATGACAGTTATAAAATATTTTAACCATCTATGTTACACATTATCTTGACAGTGGGTAAAAAAAATGTATTGCATTGTGTTGTAATATTGTATATATATTATAAATATAAGTATATATTTCAAAAATATATATTTGGGGGGTAAACTTTGGGGTACGGTAAAGTAACACTGTACTATAATGCTAAAGAATGGAAAAAGAGAGTTATTATTTAAAGTCTGCATAAAATTTATGAAAATACTCAATGGAAATGGCTCAAATGGTTCAATGGCTTTACCAGTTTAAAATACAATCATATTAAATGTGAAAATATAAAAAATAAACTCTTTACATAAGTTTGTTTGTCTAAATGTTACTTTAACACTGTACCACTGTGGAACCACCTATAGGAATGAATGCGTAATAGAGAGTACAGATATTTCAACAGTTTTAATGTTTATGTTAAAACTCTTTAAATCCAAACTTCAGTTACTTCCATTAATTTATAATTTGTGTTAGATTTAAATGTGTATCTTCAGGTTTCTGGTGCCATTTCAGATATGTGTTACCTTGAAATTATGAAATGAAAAGATCAAAACCAGCAATAGAATTTATCACGCTAACCAGTTTTGTCTATGGAGCCACAGCTTGTTTTAGGTATTCCCCCTGTCCAAAAACTGTTACAAGCAAAAGAGCCAAACTTTTGCATTTGGATACTCCATCATTACACTGGATTGTAACATATTCTTCTTAGCTTGTACAAGTGCATCTGTGTCCCCAAGTATTTGCAATAACGTCTGCCCGGACATCAAGTTCTCCAGAAATGCATTGGCAGTTTAACAACTGGCCATAACCATTGTAATGATGGAATATGTCATGAATTACATTAGCGTGGCTCTTTTATGTGTTTTTAATAGTTTTTGGATTACAGTGGAGGTCTGTAGGACAGAGGAATGATCTATAGCAGGATTTGGCTACACAAGCAAAACTGGTTTTGTTGGATTAATTCATTTTTACTTTTGGTTTTGTCTTAGAATTGGTGGATAAAAAGAAAGAGAAAATAACACCAGTGTTCTTTCCAAGTTTACATGTTGCCATGTGTATCTTATTAGTTGAGATCTAACAATTCAACTGTTTCACAAATAAAACCATTTTCTGATATTACACCACTGTAGTTAAGATTTGATTAGGGCTAATGTTAGGGTATTCATTATAATTTCAGATTATTCTATAGTTTACCACTAGTGTAATATTAATTCCAGTGGGATAATACAGCGGTTTCATTTTAATGGGTTGTTTTCATTCATTAAATCATAACAGTTTATTTAACAGCAGATTTTACGAGTAGCTAGGATAGCTAGATAATTAAGCTAATGTTAAGCTAATGTTAGCTGTATGAGTTGGTTGTATAGTCTCTGGCTTTTAATGTTTAGTTTGAGAAATTTTTATCCCAGAGAAAATACTCTATATACATACTAGAACCTGGCACCTCACATGTGATGCACATACAGTGTGTTATATGGAACCTTTCACATTGAAACAGAAACCATGAAGCAATCTTAAGGAAATTGAAGAGTAACGTAACCAAGCAGACTGTATTTTTTTGACCTCTAAGGAATTCCCACAAGCTACTGAACCAGATTGATTCTGTTTGTGCAATCAGTTGAGGCATGAATTATTATATGCTTGGTAAATATAAGATTCTGAGACCTAATAAACAAATAGACTGTGAAGAGCACAGAGTGCACACCTACCCTCAGGAATGTGTATATGGAGGTTGACACGGGAGTTTCCATCAATATCCGATGTGTAAGAGTAAATTACTGACATGGGCCTAGAGGGAAAACCAGCCACCTACGGTCTGAACAACAGATGAACTATCCCTACTAGAAGAAATACTTGGACACAAAGACTCTATTTCACACAAACATCTCCTGCTCTCAGTACGTTTTGCATTACCTTCCTTATCACTGTGGCAACCAGAGATGAAAGCTGCAAGGCAAAAGAGCTCAGTCTTCTGTGAGAGAGCTGCTGTGGATCTTGTGAGTCTCCAGGGATAAACCATTTCTAGTCTCAGGGGGGAATCTGTCAAATGGACACTGCCTTCTTTCTGAATTGAGGTCCCTTATGGATTCTCATTGCTGTCATTACATGAATAACACCACTTGAAATTTCCTACTGAGGTGTGTGGTTGCTCATAACTTTCTTTCCCATATGGCCTTGGTCTGGTCATATGGTCTTACCTGAGCGGTTGCGTTCTAGTACCCTGCTCCCTTTTACGAGGCACAGGTCACCTTGCGTGCTGTTGCAGGTGGTGTTGAGATCTGCTTTGCAGTAGGTGGGGGACCCTCCCTGCACCTGAGGGATGTGTTTCTTCCTCTTCTTGGGCAGCTTCTGCTTGGCCATGGCCAGGGAGTAGTACATCCCAAAGTTATTGACGATAACAGGCACAGGCATGGCTATCGTCAGCACACCTGCCAAGGCGCACAATGCGCCCACAACCATGCCTGACCAGGTCTCTGGATACATGTCGCCATAGCCCAGTGTTGTCATGGTTACCACGGCCCACCAGAAGCCAATGGGGATGTTCTTGAACTTGGTGTGGAGGCTAGCTGTGGGATCATTGGGCTTAGCGCCAATTCGTTCGGCATAGTAGATCATGGTGGCAAAAATTAACACTCCCAACGCTAGGAAGATGATGAGCAGCAGGAATTCATTGGTGCTGGCCCGTAATGTGTGGCCTAGCACCCTTAGTCCCACGAAATGACGTGTTAGCTTGAAGATACGCAGGATCCGAACAAAGCGCACCACCCTGAGGAAGCCCAACACATCCTTGGCAGCCTTTGAAGAAAGGCCACTCAGCCCTACCTCCAAATAGAAAGGCAGGATAGCCACAAAGTCGATGATGTTGAGAACACTCTTAATAAACTCCAACTTGACCGGGCAGAAGGTCACACGCACCAGGAACTCGATGGTGAACCAGAACACGCAAACACCCTCCACGTATGTGAGTGCAGGATCAGTTTCAATCTCATATTGTGGGCCCGAATCTGGCACGCTGCTGTTCCGCATCGCCTCAGTCTTGTTGATGATGGTGTTGAAAGCCTCATGAGTCTCCAAGCAGAAGGTGGTGATGGAGACCAGAATGAAGAACAAAGATGCAAAGGCAATAAACTACAGGAGAGGATTAGAGAAAAAGACATGTTATATTTCAAATAGTTTGAACCTTGAGAGTGAACACAGACAAGTTTAATTAACTTGCATCATTATGAATGGACTACAGAGGAGTAGCCTATTATCAAGTGCAACAAATAAACACACACTTCCCCCCTGCTCCTTTTGGGAATGTAGCACGGGAATACAGATGCAGTCACATTTAATTTACTGCTGCTGGTATGTTGGGCAGTTGGCAGAAAAACAAGGAAGAAAGTGGTTATCCCAACTGAGCAAACACAAGACATCAGAATCAGTGGGGAATTGGAAAAAGGTGTTTATTTTTGTGGACTGAATTTATTTTGTGCTTCTGCATTTCTTTAATTTGTGTAAATGTCTTATTGTGTCTTACAGCATATAAGTTGTGCCACATCTCGATGTAGTTGCATTGCATGTAACGTCTGGGTGAACTATTTACTCTGTTGCATATGTGTACTAGTCGTAACCAGGTCAACTAAGGAATATTTTTTTTCCTTGAGTATTGAAGTAAGTAAAATTAGAGGTAAAAGTAATTTTCTTGCGACAGATTTATTTTGTGACTCCCGGGCTGGGAACTAGATGATATGAGCCCATACAACCGGTCTACCCCTTTCGGACAGTATTAGGTACATAGGTACCAGCGCAGAAGGTAGAACCAATTTCAACTGGACCAAGTCTTGTGGTACACATGACCTATATGGACCTGTATGGATCAAGTCCAATTTGCCTTGATTTAATCTTCCTTGGATAACAAAGACCTGGATGGATGAATCTTCACAGACATAAATGGCTGTCAGTAACTGGATTTTCCAAAGTGATTCTGGAGTAACGTGTCATATCTTCTGCACAGCACATAAAAGAGCTAATCTGTTGCATTTTCAGGTACTACATGTTGTGAAAATAGTCTTAACTCAATGTTCACTGGCACTTTTAATGGTTTCTGGCACTTTTAATAACATGTCAAGGTCTTTAACATGGCTAGAGTTTGATCAGTTGTCATAGAGATGACTCAACAGTGATCACATGACCTGTATGGAATTTAAGTTGCATGAAAACAGGTAAGAGTACACACGGTGGCTCTGCTTTAATCTTGAGAAGCTGCAGAGCTGCAGTCTCTATACATTAAACTGAACTTATACTGTAAATTTCCTTCTTAACTGAGGCTCTTTGAAGACGTATGAAGGTATTTTTGTGTCTTTTTAATGCAAGCAAACAAAATGTTTGGAGGAAATATTTATCACTGCAATCAAAAATCAAGTTTGTAATTAAAAATAACTTTTTTGTGTCTCAAAAAGTTTTAATTGCTATTATGTCATATTATTTGATTGCAAATCAAAAAGTTTTCCTTGTGAGTCAGAAAGTTATGCAAGTTAATATGTTTTGCTAGTTAAATAGTTTTGCAAGTTAATAAGTTTTGCTAGTTAAATAGTTTTGCAAGTCAAAAGGTTTTCCTTGTGAGTCAGAATGTTTTGCTGGTTAAACCGTTTTGCAAGTTGAAATGTTTTGCGAGTCAAAAATGGTCAAAATAAGAGATTCTATTGGTGGGTTTGACTGACCGGTCATGGGTTTGCATTGACCGCATGGCCATGCCCACAATCCCCTTGCTCATATGGCTCTGACCAGCACTCAGCTCTACTGGAGTCGGCGTTGTAACGTGTACAGGCAGGATGGAGGTATGTTGACGTTATGTCGCTTATTTCAATAGAAATGCTTTTAAATGTAGTATGGCATAATATAATGATTATTTATATTTACTGTTGGCAAGGCCACGGAGTCTATTGCACATGTATGATAGTTAGCTAACGTAAGCCATCTTGGCATGAAGCTTGACTGGCTGTGCATCAGACATGACTAGCTAGGCTAAGGTTAGCTACTCATGTTAACACATGTTAACTCTCTCGCTTGCAAAACGGTTTAACCTGCAAAACTTTCTGACTCGCAAGGAAAACCTTTTGACTTGCATCAAATAATATGACATAATAGCAATTAAAACATTTTGTGACACAAAAAAGGCCTGTTTATTTTTAATTACAAACTTGATTTTTGATTGCAGTGCCATATAAATATTCTCTCAAATTTTTTTTTTGTTGGCATTAAAAAGACACAAAAATACCTACCATTCACCGGTCTTGTGCAGAGTTTTGTGTGGATTCCGTGTTGCCGACAACTGCATGCACGTCGCGGGTCTATTTCAAGTAGCCGGCTGTTTAAAAACGATTTAATATTCTTTGTGTGGTTCATCAACTGCAATAAATTATCCAAAAGTCCCGCGATGTGCGGACAACTCGGCACAACTCCAGTAAAGCTGGGGTCACTTCAGCAAGTGTTCCTCTATTGCCACAACACACATACACGCTAAACCTTTATTGAAAGTTTAATTCTTTTTACACGTTTATTTACAGCATTAAATGTTGAAATGTATATTGTAATAGGCTGTATATTAACTTACTGGGAGAAAACTGGTAGTTCTATGTAAAACCAGACGCTGAGCACCCCCATACCGCCAAAATGGCATGATCCTTGTGTCGTTGCGAAGCTTCGACTGTGAGATTGACAGTCGAATCAGGCTCCGCCCATCGAAGCATTGAATCTTTGGCTATTCGGGGTCAGCCCTAATACATATATGTAACATATATAGTTAAACATGGTGGTCTGCATTTGTGCTGACTTATTTTATGTACTGTGTTGCTTTGCTAACATCTTTGATAAACCAAATCTACCAAACAGAAAAATCTAGTCTTGGCTAAAGTCAAGCAAGTCATTTTCTGTGGCCCAACAGCTTAATTAGATCTCCAACCTAATATTAGTGTGTTGGTACTGAGGTATGAAAGCACGAAACATGCATTTTAAATGAATGGGATGTAAACACTTTGAAATAACATCATGAAAAAAGTAAACATTTAACATGTTGCTGCCATTAAAATGTATAGCAGGGGTTTTAACAAACATTGTGATTGGTTCTATATGGGGGGGGATGCGAACTCCTGTGCCTCAATGGTGGGGTTCAAGGGTGGTCTTTGGCAGCGAATGTGAACAGTCTTCTTAATAGATAACATCCACAGACTGGTGGTGGTGCTGTGGATAAGATGCCTGCTATTGGTGTGAAAGATCTGGGTTCAATCCCCCACTGACATAATTAGCAATTGTAAATTGCTTTGGATTAAAGCGTCACCTAAATGAATAATAATGCGACTGACCAAGCCAACTCCTTAGGAAGGAAAAACTAGGTCAAATATGAATTTTGCATTCAACTTCTTATGTTTGATCAATCAGCAGGTTTTTGTCATGGGGCTACCCCATGCCTTTAAGCCAGTGGTAGCATTGGTATTAGCAGGCTAAGCTAACCTTAGCATGAGCATAGGCCTGTTAGCTATTAAAGGGAGCGTTAGCATTGGACTGTTAGCACCAACGGACACATGGCTTGTCATTTCATTTCCGTTCATTTAAGTACTAGTCGAAAGAGTAGAAATCATGATTAGATAAATACAAAACATACACAGTTAATTTCAAGACATTTATTTTAGGTTATTGGATTTACCCAAGGTCATCCAAATGTTTGCATGTTTCATTCACCTGTTCTCATCTGGGTAAAAATGGCAAAAAGGAAGTGATAGAGTCTGGAGTAATTTATAGTGTGAGCAAGTACAAAGGGGTGTATTAGAGTCTCTAAAGTTTTCTGTTTTGAGAAGCTTGTTCAGCATGTAACATTTAATTTTTGGTTTTATAGTTGATATATTGTGTATTGATGTAGTCAGAAATGTTTGGGAATGTGGAGATGTTGTTTGATTGATTTCCAATTAACTTTGGTTTGTCCTGTAGGAGGGGCTTCCGGTATAAAGGAAGAAGGCAGAGGCTCCTCTGGGCAGGACAGCTTTGGCCTGGAAGGGTGCATGTGCCCAATAATCAGGGCCTGATATATGTTTTTTGTGTTGTTTAATATCAGTTTGCGATGATAATTTGAATAGTTTGTACTTAGTTTTCTTGTTGTTTGTTTGTTTAATTTTTGATATATTTTGCAATAATTCACCCTTGCACTACTGCACTTTCCACGTGTCTGGTGAAGAAATAGAAGAAAGCACCAGGGGAAGAACTCCTGAGTCTGTCTCCTCCTTCCACCATGGGGCTAAACATTTCAGTTTTGCTATAACAATCTACCAACAGTCAAAATGCTGTGGCCCTGCCATGTTTGGGAGGACATTTGTAACAAAACTGTGGAGCCTAATAACCATATTTAACAAATGAGCGGATGCTTTTCTGCAGGATACAGATAGTTCTCACCATTTCTAGCAACATTCTGTCATCTCCAACGCTGTCGATGATACACAACACAGGTTGTTATAATGTTAACTTGGCTCCAAATAGAGATAGGGACACCTATACATTTGGTTCTTGGTTCATTCATATCTACTGCCAACATGAAGGAATGCAACTTTTATAAGGATGCAATATACTTACCAGCTTTAGGTGAGATAATAGGGAAGAGAAAAGGTGAACTCATATCTTTGATTTGTTAAAACGTTATTGTTCACCAGGGCGAGCGAGGTGTGATCATGAGAGGGGCAAGTCAGTAGCACAAAGAAAAAACATTTACAATTTTAGAGCTATGACAGCAGCACTAATAATACAGTATTAAGTCCGTAATGCATCAATACAAAGCACGACCAGCTATGCCTGTTCCAAAACAATCTGCTTCATAAGTAACTTTGGTTGGCAAAATGATAGCATGTTGATACACGGCAGCTGAATCTGTATGGTAACATTATTAAAGATGATGAGTCACATGCAGATTGTATTTAGTTTTTTTGCTAAACAGATCTTGCTTTGTGTTGGTGTTCTTTTGCAAAGTGTTTATCCAACCACCTGTCATATGCAGAGCTCACATCCAGCCTTTCTGCTGCCCTGGAAGAAGCTCAGGGTGAATTTGCAAACATCCACGGCTTTCTCCGAGAGCTAGACGGAGCAGATTTCCTCACATGCAGCCTACTATGCTCCTTCTCCACCTTCCTCCCACAATCCATCCACTGGTGTGCACTGCCTACTGAGCTCTGAAGAAGTCGTTTCACACCCTGCCTTGTTTTTGGATGCATGACTCACACACTCTCAAAATATCATTGCCACTATTTGGGTCGCCCTGCTCCTGAACTGTGTGTGTGCATTCACTCTACTGCTGTTAGCACGCACTCTCTTCATACATTATACAAATGTCTCTATCATCATATAAGTGTTTTTTTGGGGGTGGGTGGAGGGTGGGGGTGATGTCCTGCTCATTCACCAGCACAGTTAAAGCCACAGCATTTTGTAAAACAGCAGCATCTAATAGTTACTAAGCACCATTAACTTTCTACATTCAAGAACCAGGCTAGGATTTTGATTTTTTAATTCAGTGGAGGGTTAGGGTCTAGGCAGTAGGCGGAAGTAAACAAGACAAGTTTCTGCAGTTGATCTCACTTTCAAACCTGTGCAGTAAAGACTTTTTCACCGCTTTTGCTAAGAAATATGACCATGAGATGCTTAAGAACCTGTTACATGTCAAAAGTAATCAAAATGCCATTGACAAATTTCACTTTTCAACTAAATTTTGCTCACTTTTAATAGACAGCAACTGCAAATCACCAAAACCACACTGACTGCTCCAACAACAAACTTGAACTTTGGAAAAAAAAAACATTAAGCAAACTTGACAACATGCTCTATGAAATTATTTCCACTTAAGTTTATTTTCTGTCTAACTGTTTCTAACTGTGTTTCAGAAGAAATATTTATTGTAAGTTTACTGATTTAATCATAAGCTAGCAAGAGTTTAATAACACAGTATCATTTGGACTGTGCTACAGCAGTAATAGAGTTATAAAGGGTACAGTCTAGACCTGCTTTATATAAAGTGCCCTGAGAAGTGCTCTGAGATGGTTTGGTGCTATATAAATAAAACTGGTTGGAATTGAATTGCTAGAGAGCACAACACATAAATCATCAGTCTATATCAATGTAAAATTGCCATAGTTGAAAACTTAATTTTTATATGCTGAGGAGCTAATGCTGTGTCCATATTGTCAGTTTTCTCATTGTACAGTGTTTGCATCAACATCCAAATCATACTGACAACTGCAATTATGGATTTTTTTCTGTAGGCTGTGATATGTAAGTAGAAGTGTATACGATGGTGCCTCAAAAGTCAAACAAATTTGAATGCCTCAGAGCCAATGTCTGCCATTCAGGGTGATCAAATCCAAATTAATGGTTACAGAGCTATATTGTCAATGCATTGTTTTTGACACAACCAACTCTGTAGTAAAACCATGATGAGTTGTCCTATGGCATGAATGTTCACAAGCTGTGAACATGGGAGTCTTTACCATCCATTCCAAATTAAATATGCGCACAAGAATACAATTTTACCATTTGTGTAGTTATTGACCAGAAATAGAAAAACCAATAAACTAAATAAACAACAAAATAATCCCAGATTTGCAAGGCACACTGTTGACAGCTTTGACTAAAGTATTAGATGTGTTTTAGGCTGGAGTTTTCCTTTAAACTCCTTTAAAATAATTCTCCTCCGACTTCCTGTCAATCTTCTCTCACCATGACATTGGCTGAAATGAGCAGCGGGACTACCTGAGCTTTTTCCTTCTTGTGCTCGGCTGCTGTGCCAACTAATGACAACTCCCGTCTCGTGCTGGGCTGTAAATTCGTCGGGTTTACGTATGCTGCGCGAGGATACATCATCTCCCCACTGGCCTGTAACAGCTGAATCATGTCACATTAAACGAGCCAAACACCAATATGATAGACATTAAAAATGCAAATGCGCTACGCTACCATGTGATTGCAACATGCTTCTCGACATCCTGATTTCCAGCATACACACTCTGCATGCTAAATAAGTACTGTACATCTATGAATGGATATAACAGAGACAGTCTATACCAGAACATGCAGATCTAATTTAGCCCGAGGACTGGTCCCATTTTCCATCTTTTTTATTACTTTTAAGGCTTTAAGCTTTAGAGGTTCTTGCTTGATGGCACTGCTAATAATAGCCATGGTGGCAGAGGTCA